GTACCTGTTAATTTTGTTAACCTGTTAAACTTACTTAGAAGCAGCTAAAATAACAGTGGTTTGATAACAGAGCAATGTAATAAATAATAACGAATAATAATTGTTAACAAATGTATTGTACTATATGTCTTTTACATATTATATACACATTTATATTTATAGTGAGGCCTTACCTACTCATTTGTATATTTATACAGAATACACATACATATACTGTGAAGAAATGAGAAAAACAAATTTAATAAGAAGTTATATATACCTATTATTCAGTAGGTACCTATNTACTATCTAATGAAACATTGATCACTGAATATAGTTATAATAAGTTTTTTTATAAATTATTTTTTTATTAGTACAGTATTATTGAGTTAGAATACATTAAAACAATACATTTTATTAGAAAAATTAAAAAATAAATTTAATTATTATAGGTTTTTTTTTTAGAAAATATATTTAATACCAAAGCAATGAATTAATGTTAAATTTATTTTTTTAAAACAGTCATTATTGCATCTAATAATAATAGTAATATTAAAAAGGGTTTTAAATTTAAATTTTAAAATTTTTCTAAAAATAAATGTTTTTAGTTAACCCAATTAAAAGAAGGTAAGTTGAATGAATATTATTGAATTTTATCTTCNATTATAGGTTTTTTTTAGAAAATATATTTAATATCAAAGCAATGAATTAATGTTAAATTTATTTTTTTAAAACAGTCATTATTGCATCTAATACTAATAGTAATATTAAAAAGGGTTTTAAATTTTAATTTTTCTAAAAATAAATGTTTTTAGTTAACCCAATTAAAAGAAGGTAAGTTGAATGAATATTATTGAATTTTATCTTCGGCCTGTCTATCTGTATAACTGTATAACTATATATGTTTGTAAAACTGAATTTAATTTAATCAAAATACAGAACAATTTTAATGTTAACCAATAGAAACTAAATAGTATATTCAAAACACAATAAACCCTTTAAAAAAACATATAATTATCAGCTGTTTATAATTCATACAATTTTTCAACTTAAATACCTAATATAAATGACTATATAATTTGTTTAATTATGTCAAACATATTATTTTAAGATAATTTTGTTTTTGCACTTGTCCATATTGTTAGTAACAAATTTTATTATTCATAATGATAATACACATATTTATTAAATACATTTTTAATATTATTGACATTTCTAAAAAAAAAAATTACTTCATGTCTTCTTTTATAATATGTATACTAATTACACAGGTAAATTGATTTGGAATATGGTATCTTAACTTTTATTTCATGATCAACCAAATTTAATCTTTATGAAATAATAACCGTTGGAGTTAATTGTGTTTGTATATTGAAATTTCAAATGCATACAATGAACCTACCTAAGCATGTTGCTGATAAAACATATTTGGTCTGTCTTAATGTATTATTATTTTATATTATAAATTAATTATAACTATTTATAACTCTTGATTGATGAAAAATATACTATGGATATTTCATTGCATTTTTCGAATTTAAGTGTTGTAATTTAAATGATTGCATGTACTTATTACATTACTTTATTAAATTGTTTTAAATATGCACTAATAACTAGTGTAGATGTAGAATGTAGTTTTTCTTTATACAAACATGTTTTAATTAATAGAAGATTTAATAACAATGAAAATAATTTAGAAATGTATCTAATTATCAATTTTAATTAAAAAAAATTAACATTTATCTAATTGTTTTGATACAACTTTTGCATTTTTATAGTGCAATTTATATGCAATTATATAATTTTAATAAGCAATTTTTGTGTTTTAAATGCAATTGAATCCGGTCTTTAGTTATAATACATGTAATGTATTCAATGTTGATTAGATGTATATTAGATATGGATATTATATAGATATTCAGATATTCAAAGTTTAATTAATGTAGAAAAAAATTTATAAATCTATAACAAACAAATACATTATAAGCATTTAGAAATCCATGTTTGATAAATGTATCTAATGCTCACAAGTAAATCTCTTCTAAATAAGACATCCACGGTTTATCTTCGATACTCCAATACTTAATAAACTAAGTTTTGTACATTGGGATATAATTAAATTTAGTGACCTTAGAAATGAATATTAGATAAATATTTAATATATATTTATCAGTAATAGTACTGTAATAAACTATTATAATTTTCACTGTTTAATATAGAAAATATACTAATTTAAGGAGTATAACTAAAATACTAAATAATTATAAAATAAATTATAATCGACAAATATTTTTATATAATATTTATGTATTATTATGTTGTATGTATGTAATTATATGATATTTACATAGGTTATTATAATTTGTTTTAAGAAAGGTTGTTCAACATGAAAGGAAATATGGATATTATTTATGTAGTTTTACTTGAACTGCTAAAATTATTAATGTAGAAAATTGAGTTATCAAATTAATTAAAATTGCATTATAATAATAACATTTATTGTGTCTAATAAATAATTATTAAATGTAAAATGTATGAATTATATTGTATATTATCATTAATTATATGTATATATTTATGTGTTAATTAAATAGTTAATTAGTTAAGTTGTTGATATGTAATTGTAATATCAATTTAAATGTTTTGATGTGAAAAAAATAAATAAATAAATAATAATAACATAAAAGTAAAATGAGGATAGTAAAAAAGAATCATCTATACTCTATAGGTATTAATAATAAATGTAAGGTAAAATAGTAAACAGTATTAACTAATATTAGTTTTGAAGAAAACTAATAAACTAATATATCTTTAAATATGAATATATTAATAAAAAAAAAAATATGTGTTCGATTTTGAAAAGTAGCAAAGTATTACCATGTTTTAATTAATTAATTAATTAATACATTTATTTATTTATGTATTTACCTTGTTATAAAAACAATCATTTAATACTGAAAGGTTATAATTTAATTAGTAATATAAAATAGAATATAGATTATATTTTAAATATTAATTTGTATCAGTTCAGTGAATAAATAAATATACAATAATATATGTATTAATATATACATATATAATTTTATATATCTTAATATAATGTATAAAATAAGTTGAAAAAGTTACTTTCAAAAATTACAAAATGTAATATGATGAAATAAGTTGGTCATATTTTCATCATATTAGCACTTATATAAAAACCCCTAATTGTATTTACTAAAACTGAATAACTATAAAAATAATAAATAGTGTGAAGGGAATAGTAGTAAAAAAACACCTGGCCATTCAAAAATTAAGTGATACATCTACAAAAAACTTTATAAAAATAGTATCAAAGTTAAATTTGCTAAAAAATGAAGATAGAATATAACAATTATTATAATAATAGCTCCAATAAATATTAAAGTGGTGAGATGGTAATGATGAAAAATCAAATTGTTAATTATTGAATAATTATAATATATTTTATTCTGTCAATTTTAAGTCTAATATAATAAAGTGAAATGAAAAGTTTAAATTTGTTGCTAAATTTATAAATTTATTATGTTACTGAGCCTAAACAAGTATTATGTTATTTAATTCTATTAAGCGCAGTAAAGGTTTTTCTTTATATGCACAAACACAGTCTAACAGTTAAAAACAGTGGAATTACAAATTAAATATTTTAACATAGTATCTAACAAAATTTCAATAAATTAAGTTTATTCATAATAAATTATTATTAATAATTGTTTTAAAAATGTAGGAGAATTTTTTTATTTTTACTATAACTAATATTATCAGTCAAATTTCATAATAAAATGTATTACTGAACTATTGATAGCAGTTTCTCTCACTCATACACAAATATTACCTTTATTATATTTCAAATGATATTTCAACATTTAAACACTATGGATGTGAAAATGAGAGGAGTGTAGGAATGCTAAATATATATTATAATAGCTTGAATCACATGGAATTATATTAAAAAGAAAAGAGTAAATATAATCAAAGTTGTATTACCAGCAAATAACAGATTAATATAAGGCATAATTTTATATAATTGAATTTAAAATAAAATTGTTGGTAGAAAAAATTGGCATAAAATCAGCCAATTAATAATTTTAAAAATCTTTAATTATTATAATAAATACATTAAATTTTTTGATAATCCGAACAAAATTGTACATACAATACAAATAAATGAACACATAGATAAACAAATTTTAAAATTAGAATCTGTTTTTCATTTATCAAATTGTTCTTCATCAAATATTAATTAGACATGGTGATGTTGAAACTATCATTTAAAGATCTATTAATAATACATAAGAAAAATTTGTACAATATTAGTTATCCAGTAGATTTAATAAAATATACAACAGAGAAATAATATGATTAGTTTAATATTTTTAAAACCTGAAAAATACCTAATAATACTATTGTAAATTAGTTAAGTAAAAGGATACTGATCTGCTATTTGTCTATTATCGTGAATGTCCAGGTTATCGAAAGGTTCTAATTCTTCATTTGACAAGTTTCCATGATCACTAGATACATATGGTTTATAATTAGAATAACGAGAAGACCATAGATTTTCATACTCGTTTAAAAAAGCAACTACTTCCGATTTAAATTTAGCAATCGAGTTATAATCTTTTACCATTCCAGACCATGCTAAATTTTCTTCTTTTATTATATACTCGATTTTATTCTATAAGCATATAAATACATATTATATAAAATTAAGATAATACATTGAAATGTAAAATCATTAAAATATTTATAAATAAATAAATAAATAAATAATTTTTTAAAAACATAAATTACCACAATTTTTACAATTTTTATGATATAGAATAATTGATTTGTATGTTTGTTATGTAAATAGGTAGGTACTTAGTTATCTTAGGTAGGTATATCTGAAAATGCCAGGAGGTTTCATGTGGTAAAATTATTGAATTTTATATAATTTGTTAAAAATAATCAATGGTTTTCAATTTAAACACTGTCAATAATAATTAGACATTCTAGAATGATCTGATAATGTTTATATTGGATTATTCATTAATATTGAAAAGATCACAGGTCCCTTGTCAATGTTGGTCAATTTAAATATTATCCAATAATGCAATTAGCCCATATAATTTATAAAAAAATAAAAACACTATATATCTGGGTATTTCTATTATTTTATCTGTCGAAGTAGTTACCTTTTTTTTTTCCACATTTTGAATAGTGTCATTTAATAATGATAGCACTTTAACTCCTTGACTAGAATTGTCATGAAACATCATATTCATAGGATGAGCTACTTTAGTCTCCAATAATTTAACCTTTGTATCAATCCGTTTAGCTAAAGTATGCATGTCGTTAAAATTCATTTTGTTTTAATATAAATATTCTGTAGAACTGTAAAGATAATTAATGCCACTATAAATTTAAGCTTTATGTAAACAATTGATTTGAAGAATAGGATGTCTGTAAAGATAAGCATTGATAAGGAATATCGGTAATTACCATGTTTATTATATTGCATTTGATATTATAATAAGGAGTTATTTACAAAGTTATACAAAGGGATCAATGTATCATGAGACCTTTTTTATGTCGGAAAGTATTCACATTTTTGGAATTTTCTTTTAGCAATTTAAAAAACAAGCAACTCTAAAATTTAAAATTATTATTAATTTTGTCACCCCTTTTTTGGGGCGTGAAACGACTACCTATTTTTGGTTTTCAAATGAGAACTTATAATAGAAAATCCATAAATAGATGGAGTATTACTTTAAATAAATTTTGGTGTTAAAATGTTTGATTTCTGAGCACCATTAATAAGATATTCCACTATTAATTTTAGGTAGCACTAATAAAACGTCACGCGCCGTGCCATCACACAAATAATGCTCCATTACTCTCCCCCTACCTAAAATTAAAAGTGGGATATCTTGTTATTGGGTTAACGTTTCAGTTCCCCCCCCCCAAAAAGAAGGGGTGACAAAATTGACATTTTAGAGCTGCTTGTTTTAAAATTGCCAAAAAAAAAAATTTCTAAAAAAAGTGAATACTTTCTGAGAGTGTATTATTATAGATTGATCACTTTGTTATACAGGCTGTCCCACAAAGATATACCTTGAATATCTCCAGAGATAATAAAGATAATCAAATTCTGTTTTTTTTTATATTACTTACAGAGACAAATATTTATATTTGAATTACATTTTTTTTTTTATTAAAAAATTTTAAAAAAAGCTTTATTTTATTATTTTCGGAAAATTGTAATATAGTCATTCTGTAGAATCTATCTAGGGAATAACTTAACCGCGTTACGCGATAACATTAGTTTTCACACAGATTAGTAGAATTTAAAATGGTTGTTACTTAGAAACTATTCATGGCGTTTTTTATGTATGACGATGTGTTCAACATCAAGAAGACAGTCACACGTGACATAATCTAAGGCGCCGATCGTTGCACAACATTATTATATCAATGGTCCGGATATATTATGCAGTATATAATATTGTAATGATATGCTATTTAAGCTATCATACATNAGAATTATTTTTATATGAATTTAAAAAAACACCGAAATACTTTGCACAATAGATGAACCACTGTTGTAGATGAAAAGTTGGGAAGGTAGTATACAGAAAGGAATTTAATGTATATCTGTAAACAAAGATTTTTCAACAATATATAGGTCATATTACAAGAGCTAGGGTTTCTAGGTCCACCCGAAATGCATTTGTTTTTTCTCTGTTAAATATCCTATAGCAAAATAAATTTTTTGGAACTTGCAAACTCTTAAATGACAATAGTGAGTTATTTTACACAACACATATAATATCAAATTTCAAAAAGCTATAATTTCGAAAGTCAGTCCATTTAGGTGACTCCTAGGATGAGATATTTAATATAATGAGAATAGATTTAAAATTAATAAAAAATTGGTCAATTAAAAATTATTTATTCTTCAATTTAGATAAACCAATGTTTTCCTCACGCTTTAATATAATTTATTACCCAGAAACAGAAATAAAAACATCAATTTCATTTTTTTCCAATGAAAACTTATTTCTGTGTAAAAACTAATTAATATGTATACATTATACATAGGTATAAATACAATAATAACTATTTATACACTAATCAATAACCATAAAAGCAAACATAGCTGGTTAAATGTCTATGTTAATCATATTAATTCGCACATTAATAGTGAATCGGTAAACAAAAAAGATAATAGGATAATAAGGTCTGGTGTAGCCACTGTTATAAGTGATTTAATGTTATATTATTGGTTAGTATCACATATTATATATTACACCATCAATATGGTATTATAGTACCTAGATAATATTTTAATACTTTATTATTA